TTGTTTGTTTTTGAGACAGGTCCAGGCTGGCCTTCAACTCAGTATTGTAGCCTAGGGTGGCCTCAAACTCACAGTGATCCTCCTGCCTCGACCTCTCAGAATGCGGCACCATGCCAGGATCCATAGCTTTTTACAATGTAACTAAATGTCTTAAATCTTTTAACATCAATACTTACATAGACGTAGTTTTTTTTAACATAGTTTTTATTAGAAAGAATAGTATTCTACTGTATAAAAATACCTAATTTACCTCACTCTCTACTAACAAGCATTCTACTCCCAATTTTTCATACACATATATACATCATTATACCCTTCAGCTATTATTTCTATATAAAAAGTTGCTATGCACATTTAAAATTTGAGGTCAAAAAGATGCATATTTTAAATTTGTGTGTTCATGAACTACCCCCCAAAATAAAATTGTTGATCCACCTTATTAGTGGTTGTCTGGGCAGCCACCACTGGTATTAGGGTGACAGGAGAGGCAAAAAGTGAGTCCGGCCTTTGGCTGATGCCTGTCTTCTTCCTTTCTTCAAATATAATGCTCTATTTTTATCTTTTAACATACTGGGTTTCTGCTTAAAATGTGTTTGAAGAGAGAATTATAACATGAAAACAAGTTTTGCAAACTTTTGCTCTAACAAAGTCTCTGGAACTTGAGACCTTCAGTTTACTTCTAATACCCAGGGAAATTTCAAAACAACCCAGTTTGGAGTGTTTATTCCCTCTTTTAAGATCAGTGCTAAAGCAACACAGGCTAGGGAGGGCTTCAAATTCCACTCAGCTTCCTTCAGAATATTCACCTAAAGAATCAATAGTTTGGTTAACAGCAAAATCGTTCCCTACCCTCAGTTTGAAGATAGTGATGATCTCTAGAAAGCTTTCATTCAGGAAGGTAAACCAGACACAACCTAATAAATTTAGTGGCAACAGCAAAAGAAATTAGCAAGTTAGTCATTGCTTAGAAAAGTACTTTCCGAAGTTATCCTCCTTTCCTTTTTTCACTCAGGATGTAAAAACAACAGTACTTTCGTGCTTTTCTCTTTCTGTATCCTTCTCCAAATATTTCTTAGTACTGCTTTTACTAGAAAACCTTTTTTCTAGGAAGCCAGAATTCCATACTTTGAACAATTAGGAAAACAGCATCCTAAGGGAATGGATTTATTGGTTCTAGAATTCCTAAGATGCTGCATTTATCTGAGATTCACTTTTTTTGAGATTCACATATTAAATTCAATCATGAATAGATAGGGGCTGGGGGTATCCTAGTTCACCTGTTAAAGCCCCAGAATGAAAGACTTTGTATTTCATTTGAAGAAAAAAGGCTTATCAAATTATAAGTCTTAATCATTATGCTTATTTGGTGTCTCAGCATGTATCAGTCACTATTTTAGTTTTAGGTATTATATAATCAACTTGAACTAGCTCAGGCATAAGAAGAAATACATCGGCTTACTGTGGAACTGTGGAAACAGGTCTTTGTATATTATCTCTGAATGTCTGCTTCATTTTCTCATACTACTTCCTCCAGGAGTTACAAACATCAGCACCTCCTAGACTTGTATCATGCCACTTTCAACTAAGAGAGATTACCTTCTTTCCTTAGTTCCAGTTTGGAAAAGCCCAGGGAGGTAGTCTGAAGGCCTGTCTTGGATTAGACACCGCCAAAAAGGCAACAATTGTAAAATAACGGCAGTTTCTATTCAATCTTTTTAGGCCTAATGTTCCATTTTTAGAATGGCACGCAACAATGGAACACAAAAATTTTCTTTTCAAATCTCTCCTTGAATTTTTCTAATTATCAAATTAATTTCATGCAAAAATTCAAAAATTGCAACCCTTTTTATAAATAGGTTAATGTGGAAGATTCTGTTTTGGGCAGATACACAGTAATCAAAGCTAACATTTATGGAATGCTTAAAATATACGAAGCACATGCTCGCCTAAGTCTTTTACATACGTGGAGGGTGTCTCCTGGACAGGCCATAAAAGATAAACAGCGATTTTAAAGCACTCTGCGAGTGCTCCATAGTGTTTTAATGACAACAAAAAGAAATAAAAGCTGGACGAGAAACTAAGTACGGAAACAACTGTGTCATGTAATCTTATGAAGGAATAACGTACTTCCCTCCTCATAATGAACAAGTGTCCATTTAGTAGTCTAAAACTCTTAACTCTTAAATTAACAAAGGACAAACTACCTAAATGGCACTATCGGGCTCAAAAAATGATAAATCAGATTGAGTCCTGCAGGTGTCACAAGACAACAAAGCTTTGGCATCAGATATACTTAAGTCTTCAATCCTATCCTCACCACTTGCTACTGATACAACTTTGGGCTTGTTGCCCATCTGTACAGTGGGGATACTACCACCAATCCCTTTGGGTTTTAAGTAAGATAGGCCAGGTGTGGCGGCACACGCCTGTGATCCCAGCATTTGGGAGGCCGAGGCAGGAGGATTGCCACAATTTGATTCATTCAAGGCCAGCCTAGAATGAATACGTAGTGAGAAACTCTCAAATTTTTTTTTTAATTTTTAAAACTACAATTAAATAAGTTAATGTATGTAATTGCTCACCACACTGACATGCTACTTGATGCATGGTGAAAAATAGCAGATCAAGTAGAATAATATATAATTGTCCAGGGGCAGCAAGACAAGACACTCGATATTGCTCTTCTGTCTCGAAATGTCCAGCTTCTCTGTATGTCCTAAAAGAGGCCTAATCCCATTTCTTAAAATTGAAATTGTCTTATCATTAAGTGAGTTTCATTAAGTAGTGAAATCAAATGAGATTACAGTTAGACTTATTCATTACAATTCAGAAAGGTTTACTTTGCCTGGCTAATTTTTTATTTCTTTAGTCATAAAAGTTTGTCTCTCATCTCAGGTTCTCCATTTTAAAAATGCTTTCATAACTGTTTAAACAGATTGGAGACAAGAGAGCCCCTAAAAACCCTTACTCAGATACAATTTTTTAAAACTGAAAGAACAGATGGATTTTTCTACTTAAAATGATGTAACACAAAGACCAGGTTATATATTAGCTAAAAGCTTTATGCTTTTTCTGCCTTTTATTCTCTGTTCTTCTAAAATTTTCATTAAATTTCCACTTTTTAAATAATTCTGAGTTTTGTTTAAAGAGATGGAGTCTTGCTATGTTGCTACATAATATTTAATATAAGATAGTTTTTCATTTATCATAAGATAAAAGCCAGGCATGGTGCACACCTATAATGCCAGCTGTCTGGGAGGCTGACACAGGAGAATCACAAGTTCAAGTCCATCCTGGGCAGCTCAACAAGATGCCATCTCAAAATAAAATTTTTAACAAAACAGCTAGGGATGTAGCTTAGGGCACTTGCCTACCATGTTCAAAGCCTTGTGTTCAATTCTCAGTACCACCATAAAAAAACATTAATTAGTCCGAAACAAGAAAGAAAAGAATTAGTTTATTTAAAGTAGTCATTAATAATGCTAATGTTAAAAATGATTTTAAATACTTTTATATATTCTGCCATATCTGCCTTGTAAAATTATTTTTATTCTTACTGTGTCTTAAATACGGGACACTTAAAGAATTGACATTACTTGTGCCCTTAATGTCTTTCATCTTTAGTTTAATTTTCTAGGAAATGAAAAATACAGTGTGTAAAATCTGTGTGCTTTGTTGATAGTCCTACATTTACTGTGAAGATAACATTCCGTTATTCTCAGCAAAATGATCACAAATGCAAGGCCTGTTACGTTGTTTCTTCTCTTCACAGCCTCCGTGTTCACTTGCCTGGCAATAGCTCTGGGATTCTATAGGTTCTGGAAGTAGTACTGCTGCCGCTGCCTCTGCTGCCAATGACTTCTTAGAACACTACAGGAGAGATTTTCTTTCCACATGGTCAGTTGCTGAAGAAACTTATTACGAGATTATTCAAGGTGTACATGGACTAGAGAAGCATTTCAGGTACCTCCCCTTGATTCTGTGTATATGCTATGTTGAAAAGCTGTCATCCAAAACATGATTTCAGATGACAGAGCACTCTGTCCCTAAGTTTTTGATAGTTCATACAAATAGAACCAGAATTTTCTTTCATTTGAACAACTTTATAAATAAAATTATGTTGATATCTGCTGCAAATTTGAAAACTATTTCCTGGCCTCTACATTTACAGGGTTTAACTCCTGTTAACTACTGCACAGTTAAGTTTTTACAGAAAATAGAAGATTAGGACAAGGTGATGATGGGGGAAGGGCGGAGGCAGTGCCTGACCAGTGGCAGAGCCTGACCAGTGGCAGAGCCCATGTCCTGGGAAAGCCAGCAGGCCTGGAGAGGCAAGTCTGGGCTTGGGGCTCGTACTGGGGGTCCCATGAGGAGGTGGCAGCAGTGATGGAGACCCTGCCACGAGGTGCCACCTGAGCCAGGCACTGATGCGGAAGCTGACCCCAGCGTGGAGGACGCTGCCCTGCATCGCCCCCAGCTAATGGGTGCCTCATGGCGGTAGCCAAGCATGTCACATGCCTGTTGAACAAGGATATCAGAGGGGTGAAGCCTGAAGAACCCTGGACACATGCAGTCTGTGTCCACAGCATTCTCCAGGTTTGGCCTTCTGTACTTAACATTCTCCCAAACTTCACAGTGGCCTGGCCTGGTTTCTATGCCATCATCAGATTTTACTGACAGGCCTTCGAGGAGAAGCCACTTTCCCAAAACTACCCAGTGAAGGGCCAACATCAACCCTTATGAAAAGGAAGGTGGCCCCAGAGCCTGCAGTCCAGAAAGCTTTTGTCAGATCCGTTTCAGAAACTGTCCATTATGGCTTGGGTATCCTGAGAGTCTCCTTGGAGCTGCTGCCTGAGTAGCAAAGTTAAGTGGTGAAGAATGGACGGCCCTCCCCGCCCACCACCACCAGCCCAGAAAGCAAGAGCTCCATCTTCAAAGATGATCTCTACCTGCCTCCCCAGGACCCCTCCCCTTCCCAGGAGGGCTGCGGATCTTTTTGTGGCTGCTTCCAGAGGCCCTCCAGAGTCAAGGCTTTCTCTCCAAAGTGGTTACCTCAAAGAATATAGAGCTGCTCCTACGGTCACTAAACTGTACATATCCATAAGCCAACATGGCTGCTTTCACCAGAAAAAGCCTTCTTGAGCCGAGTGGTGGCACATGCCTATAACCCCAGTACTCAGAAGGCTGAGGCAGGGGGATTACCATGAGTTTGCGGTCAGCCTGAACTACACAGCAAGACCCTGTCTCAAAAAACAACAAAAAAAGCCCTCTGAGCACATATAACTATCATTTCATAATACCCTTGTGATAGAGCTACAACCACCTATGAATCTGGAGGGAATTTGGGTCTCTAGTATAGTGAGAGAAGATTCAGCCTCCCTAGTGGATTCTGCAGTGGGTAGTTATCCTCACTTCCCCTGACTCCTGCCCCTTCTGTTCACTCCAGCTTCTGTGCTCTTACAATGAAGGTCTTACTTTTTCACCGCTCCATATCCCATTTGCCCTGGAATGCCTTGACTTCTTGCAGTGAGCAGCTTCATCGGGAGGCCTGTTCTGGAGATGAGTTTGCCACAGGCCAGCTGCACATAGGTCTCAGAGCAGTCTGTTTTCAAAGTTCAGATAACAGGAGAAAGCCTTCTCTTGTCAGCATTGGGGGTGAGGGGATGGACCTGCTGGTTTAGCTGAGCTTCAGACTGATCGATCACCTGGCGAGCACAGCAGTGGGCAAGTGAAGTCTTTTGGGTTGGGGTTGGTGTCCAGGGTGGGGTACTCCCTCTGGGTCTCACTTGTCTGGTTATCCGTTGATACAAGGTTGAATATATCAGCCACACTTACTAGTTGATACTGGGTTGAATATATCAGCCACAGCTGTGTCTGCAGTAGAAATAGTAGTGTTTGTTGTAAAATGTTTCTTTCAAAAGCATCTTCTGCAGTTTGGTTTTCTACAGGAGTGCTTTCTACAGAAGGAGCATATAATTCAAAGAATTCTGAACATATAGGTCTCCTGAAGATATAAAGAACCCTAGTGACGAGGAATTTCAAGGCTGCTCACTGGTGAGGTCAGAGACCTCTTTGCCAACTTTAGTCTACTGCATGCATTTTCTTTTGTGAGGCTGTTCATTCCAGTTGGCCTAGGGTATTCCATGGGGCACAAAAGAATGAATTTTGGGGGGTGTGTTTTTTTTTGTCGGGGGGGATCTTTTTGCAGCAGGGTCTCACTATACCGTTCAGGCTGGCCTTAAACTCATTTTGTAGCTCAGGTTGGCCTTGAATTTGCAGTGATCCTCCTGCCTGAGCCTCCCAAGTGTGAGGATTACATGTATGCACCATCACGCCCCGCAGAGAGACTTTATAAAAGACTGTTGTGCCTGATGTGGTGGCACACACCTTAATCCCAGCACTCGAGAGGCCAAGGCAGAAGGATCACTGTGAGTTCAAGGCCAGCCTGGATTCTATAGTGAGTTCAAGGCCAGCCTGAACTACATAATGAAACCCTGTCTCAAAAAGACAAAAAATAATTAATAATAATAATCATAATAATGTGAAAGCCTGGGCTGCATAAACATAGCAGTTAGTTTTTTTCTGAATATGTGCATCTAACAAACTCCAGAAAATACAGCTGTTCAATTTATTTTCATAAGTCAGATTGCTGGATGCAGGTTAGGGGAGGGTTCGTTTTTTGTTTTTTTGTTTTTTTGTTTTTTTTTGTCTTTTTGAGACAGGGTCTCGATATGCAGTTCAGACTGGCCTTGAACTCACTTAGTAGCCCAGACTGGTCTTTAACTCACAATGATCCTTCTGCCTCAGCCTCCTGAGTACTGGGATTACAGGCGTGTGCCACCACACCCAGCCAGGGGAGGGTTTTCTTATACAGCATTGTTTTTCAAATAATCCAGTGAAATTCTGATGCTGATTATTTAAATGGGAATTTTTAGCAAGCACTTTTTTTTAAAAATGAGATTTTCAATTTATGTCAAATGGCAAAGTGAGATATTTGGTTGCTATAGTACAGCTGTTCTTTTCTAAAACTTACTCGTCTTTATATTTGCTTGCCAAGACTAGATGTTTTTTAAACTTAAGTGATCTGAAAAGTAAAAAGCAAAAATTCTGAAACTTACGCACATTTTTAGAGGTACTCTGGAAAATGAAAAAAGTAATATAATTCTATTATGGAGCCATAACAGAATATTTACTCAATTTTAACATCTAGTACTGCATTTCTGGATTAGACCATACCATCTATATTTCATAGTGTATGTGAATACTTGTAAAATGCCCTTCCTTTGCCTATATAGGCAGATAAAAAGTATCCTGGAGGTAGTGTGCCCCATGTTATTAACTGCACTGGGCCATCCCCCTTTCCTGTGAGGATGCTGTTCAATAGGACTTGAGCTCTAAGCACGCTCATCAGATTTGTGCTTTTGGTATTTACTTTCTGCAGCCAGGTTTGACAATTTAAGGTAAAGATAGCAAGATCTAATTGTGCATGCAGAGGTAAGCATATTTCCCCTTACAGATTTACACACATTTAATTTTTAAAATGAAAGAAAAATCAAACAAATTTATTTAAAATTACTTCACTGATTAGAACCTTCTTACAAACATCCCCCGAGAAGACATCTTTTTCTTCACTTGCTTCTTCTCTTTGCTGGGCTCACCTGAGTCATCTTCCTATAAACAAAGAAAAAGAGGGTCAAATAAAATTTTCATGCTAAACACACATTTTCATCTTTCTGCACTGTCTGTTCAAAAGAAACCATGGAAAGTATTTTCAGTATTTTCTGATTAAATTTAACCCTAGGATTTTATATGAATGCCCAAATTTGAAGTGTCAGAAGCTTTATACTGTCCTAAATCGTAAGACAGGAGGCTCCTTGAGAAATCATTCAGTCCTAGCTCTACCTAATACATACCCAAACACCTTAATATTTCTGCCTTTATCTTAGACTAGTGTTTCACAACATACTGTTAACTGAAATGCAGAAGTATTTCCAGTGGTTATTAAAAGACCAGTGTTTAGTTTTTGCAAAATAAAAAGAAACCAAGAAGTTTTTGTTAGAGATCAAATCGAGTGACACAGGTCTAGGACAGAATTTATCCCTAACAACTGAAGAGAAACCTCTCTGGAAAGAAAATATGAACCATATCTGAATCCCTGCCCCGCATCACAGGCTGTCCTTGGGGTCACATATATCGTGGCCACCTTCACTTGCCGAGGAGGATGCAGATCCAGGCTTCCCCAGTGCATTTCCTGCCTCTCGACTCTGAGACAAAATGCATGAAGTACAAACACCTCTTGGGGTTTTTTGCTGTTACTTTTGCTGTTTTCTGTACTTGCTCTTTTTTTTTTTTTTTTGTCTTTTTGAGACAGGGTCTCCCTATGCAAGTCAGGCTGGCCTTGAGCTCACTTTGTAGCCCAGGCTGGTCTCAAACTCGCAATGATCCTCCTACCTCAGCCTCCCAAGTGCTGGGATTACAGGCGTGTGCCACCACACCTGGCTCTGTACTCGTTCTTTGAATCTGCTCATTATCAGTTTATTTTTAGCTTCTTTCTACATGTTTATCCTTTTAATTTATTATTTTCTAAAGCAAAATTCTGGATTCCAAATTCATAATCCCTTTTATAAAAAGAGCCAAGACTTCAGAGCCAGAAGGCTGGAGACTGAATACTGCTTCTGATATTCTAGCTGTGTGAATTCAGACAAGTGACTTAACCCCTCTGAGCCTGGGTTGTGTCACCTGGTAAATGGGAGTAGATCATGTAGCAAACAGTAAGATAACACGAGACAGCACTTCGTAGTGTTAGGATGTTACACAAAAGTTCATATTATTCCAGGAGCCGAGAACAGGGATGTTAGGTCAGTTTCTATGCTGGCTCCTTTCTACCCTTAAAACTGCTCTTTGGAGGAGCTAACATGTTTTAAAATGGATTCCATTCAAATCATCTTATTTTGGCTCTTTAGAATATGTAAATAGTCATACCCTCTAGCTGTCTTAGAATTTTTATTGATTATTGTGCTAATGAAAAACGTTTTCCTCTTGGGGGTAGGGGTATAGCTCAGTGGTAGACCCCTTGCCTGCAGTGGATGAGGTCCTGGATTCAAAGCCCAACACTGCAAACCATGTTTCCCTTATATGGTACAATAATGACAGTAACACTTAGTACACACTTACAAACCAAGTGGTTCTTCTAACCACCACAAATACACTGGTATGGGGAATGGGGAGGGAGAGAGAAAGTTACAAGTATAGATCTTCCTTAACTCTACAGGTATAGACATAGATATATTCCTTAATCCTGGCACTGGCTCAAGAAAGGACAAGGTGTCTCCAGCTTACAAGTGAAGCACCAGGAGGTTAAATGATTGCCCAGCTCAAAAGTTATAGTCAGGATTCAAACAAAAATAGCTCTACCTCAAAGCTTATGCTCTTAGCTACTCTTATGTACTATTTCTTGAGAAAAACAATCGTATTAAGGATACCAACCGAAGTCACTGAGGTAGGGACCTGAATTTTCTCTATTGTTTCTCTGAGGTGGTCCACCTCCGCCCGATACTCATCTAGTTGACATTCTAATTTTTCTCTACGTAGTCGTTCATATTCTAGCTGGCCTTGCAGCTCTTTAATGATCCTGTCAAAAAAAAATGTTTGCAATCAGTATTCAGTGTCAACTAACAATTTTTTTTGGTAATAGTAGAAAGTATTGTACCCATGTATTTATTTAAGGCAAATCAAATGAAGAACCCACTTAAAGGTCCACTGTGAACCAGCAGTTTCATCTAGGTATTAGGGATAGTGACAAAAGGCCAAAATATGACCTCTTTACCTTAGGAATAAAGGGAGTAAAGAGATAAGTAAAATATAACATGATACGTTGGAAGGTGGCAAATCCTAAAGGAGAGGGGAAAAAAAAAGGAGGAGTACTATAAAATGCTGAAAATGAGGTTAACACTTGGAATATAAGAGCTAGGGAAGGCTTCACTGAGAAGGGGACTTTGAATAAAGTCCTGAAAGAAAAAAGAGAGATGACCATTTAGATATTAGGGGAAGAATATTCCAGAAACAGTGAACAAATGCAAAGGCCCTAAGACTTAAGAATGACTGGTGAACCACAAGAAAACCACAAGGCAATGGGGGTGGATTAGTTAAATCCTTCAGAGGTGGTGAGTGATCTCAGAGATACAAACTCTTCAAAGAGTAATATAAACCAGCAGTAGAAGAAGCAAAATAAGTAGAGTCTTGTTAGTCATAATAAGGATTTAGCTTTCACTCTGAGTGAAATAGAAAGCAAAGGAAGAGTTTAAGCAGAGAAACAGATCGCTCTTACTTATGTTTTAACATGATTACTTTAAATTCTGTGTTGAGTGCCGGGCATGGTGGTGCACACCTGTAATCCCAGCACTCGGGAGACTGAGGCACGAGGATCGCTCTGAGTTCGAGACCAGCCTGGGCTACAAAGTGAGCTCAAGGCCAGCCTGACCTGCATAGGGAGACCCTGTCTCAAAAAGACCAAAAAAAGTTCTGTGTTGAGAACAGACTACATGGTAAGGGGTAGGGTCCAGGGCACAAGGACAGGAAGCTGGGAGACTATCGGGAGAATGTTACAATAATCCAAGTGGGGCCTGGTGATACACACTGTAATCCCAGCATTCTGGGGAGCTGAGGCAGGAAGATCACATGTTCAAGCCCAGCCTACACATATTAATGATGAACAAGACCCTGTCTCAAAAAAAAAAAAAATTGGGGCCAGGGATGTAGCTCAGTGGTGTAGCACCTGTCTGGCAAGCATGAGGTCCCAAGTTTGATGCTCAGTACCAAAAAAAAAAAGAAAAAAAAAAATTAAAAGGCTGGGGATGTTGCTGATTAAAACATTTTCACACAGTATTTAGAGAGGTAACTAAATACAAATCATTACAGTGTTAAGGACATTACTTTTCAGACTCAAGCTGTTCTTTCTTCTGCTTTAGATCCTCTTCTGTTATCCCACCCAAATGTTTGTAGTTGCTCTCAGCAATTTTCAGGAGGTGTCTCAATTCTGTGATCTTCTTATAAGCTCTCTCTGCAAGACAGTTGAATAAGAACCTAATTGAGTTAGGTAACGTGTTCTCAGAGTGGTAGTCCTTGTAAACATTTTCTTCTTCCAGTGCCACTGTCTCTGTGGTTTGGGTGGGAGCTGGAGAGCAGTATATACTGTACATAGAAGGATAAATATTAGTACCAGAATATTTGTTTTTGTTTTTGTTTTTTGTCTTTGTTGAGACAGGGTCTCGCTATGCAGTTCAGGCTGGCCTTGAGTTCACTTTGTAGCCCAGGCTGGCCTCAAACTCACAACAATTCTCCTGCCTCAGCCTCCCGAGTGCTGGGATTATAGGTGTGGGCCACCACAACCAGCACAGCAGCAGAATATGTGGATGAACAGCAATGACATACCTAAGTAGCAGATTCTTACCTACCTACAGGGGCAAGTATCACCTTATTATAACTGTTAATGCGATGAACAACGTTTAAAGAAATCCAGCAGTGTATTAGGACTACTGCTATATTACAAGACCATTTATGATCTACTCTAAGTCATAAAATTTGAAAAAAATGAAATATGCTTAATTTAAAATAAACCAGAACCAATCCAGCCCCAAATTTTGTGATTAGTCACTTGTAACATCTATACCAAAAAACAAAAACAAACAAAAAAAAAAACCTATGCAGCAAGTATGCTGAAAGCCTTTCTGAGCTATTCTCCAACTGACAAAATAGTTTTTCCATTCTTTATGACTATGGTTCTCAACCTGAGCTGACTTTACCACTTACAGGACAACTGGCAATGTCTAGAGATATTTCTGCTTTTCACCTCTTGGGAATGGGGAAGGACAGGGTAGACAACTGGAATCTAGTCAGTAGAGGCTCAGGATGTTACTAAACATCTTATAATGCACAAGAACCCCTCCCCAACAAACCAAAAATAATTTTCAGGACCAAAATGTCAAGGGTACAGAAGTTGAGAAATTCGGATTTACAGCACCAGGTTAACAAATTACAGCCTCTTCTTCCCAACATGTACCATTCTGATTTATCTATCAAGATGTTAGAGCTACAAATTCCAAACTACACCTGCCAGAATCAACTGAGGTGTGTTTAAAAAAATGTACATGCTTGAAACCTATCTCAGGCTACAAATTCAGGCACCTATGGTTAATAAAATCTCCTCAGATAATCCTGAGGGACAAACAGTTCCTGGAACCACCGTAACTGATAAAAGCCACATAAGAAAAAACTCAAAAAGCTATAGCTAACAGGTTGCGTATCAGTATTTGAAAGGCTATGTTTCAAAGACCTGTTCTGTGGGGTCTCAGAGGTAAAAGCCAGGATTAACTGGGATTAGCTTCTGGAAGACAGATTTCAACTCAACAAAGGGGAAATTTCGTAATAAAAATAATAATAACTATCATGTATTTATAAAATGCCAGATGTGTAAGACACTACACTAAATGCTTTGCACATATAAATCTGCATAGAAACTGTCAAAAAGGAAATGATCTACCTTATCACTGGAAGTACTACTGAATGGAGGCTAGATGACATACAACAGCAATCTAGAACAAGCAGTCAAATCTCAAATAGTTATAGGACTCTGTGATGCCATAGTCCTAACCCTAGTTTACTAAAAAGTGCCCTGAACTGAAGCTCATTTCCAGGAATATCCAGAATGGCAAGAAATCCAACCAGTCCCTTGTACGTGCTCCAGCAAAATACTAGTGTCCCAAGAAGGTATCATCTACTCCTTTGATTTTCTTCCTGTAATAAAATTAAATAGGGATAATAATAAAGCACGTGACTTGGTATATACTACCCCTTTACTAACTGCAAGCACCACAGCTGGGCATTAGTGATCCTCACTGTACATAAAAGGTGCCGAGAGCTCATGTGTATGGCGCACACCACAGAAAGCAGTGCTGGTATGTTGCTGGTTTCTTCTGAAACATCCTTTTGAAATTTCTTGGTTTCCTGACAGTGATCTCCTCACAAATACCTCCTCAAAGAATTTCAGAATAAACAAATCCTAGGGGTTGGGGATCTAGCTCAGTGGCACAAGTGCTTGCTTAGCAAGTGCAAGGTTCTGAGTTCAATTGTCTGCACCAAAAAAAATAAAATAAAATAAATCCTACAAGATCAACAGCTGATTCTCAGTAGCTCTGAGTCCCTCCTTCTCAAAGAATCTCCCAGAAATCAAAGCACAAGCAGTAAAGTAAAAAATAAACTGGTCTTTGTAAAAATTTAAAACTTTGCACTGCCAAGGACCAACACAAGAAAATGAGCATGTTCTCTTTCTACCTAATCGATAACTCTCCTGAATATGTCATGCCCTTCCCCACTGCCCAGTCCTTTCGCCACCCAGAACATAGCTTGTATTTTCAAAAATAAATTGAAGCACATCATTTTCCAGCTGAAACACCAACAAAGGTTCCTATTTAAAATATAATCTAGGTCACTTGGGCAATTTAATAAGACCCTGTCTCAAAACTTAAAGGGGCTGAGGGTGTAACTCAGTGGTAGAGCACCTGCAAGACATACATGCACAAGACTCCAGGTTTATTCCCCAGTATTGCAAAAATAAATAAAATTTATACTATATTAATTTAATGCCAGGACAAAAAATACTGAAAATGTAATGCTATGTTTTAAAGGTAATGGTATCAGATCAGTGTTCCATGGGGACTATTTATGTTATACATGTGTTGTGACTGTTACATTATAAAGTCTCTGTCATCACTGTCAGTCCTGCAATTGTAGCACAAAATTAGCCACAGAAGATACTTAAAATATTCATGGCTGCATTCCAATAAAACTTTATTAATAAAAACAAAAAAAAATTAAAGTCCTTCCTGGCACGTTTATGATCTGACGGGACCCTTGCTTACCTCTCCACCTTTACCCATCACCTCTCCCTCAGTGCTTCTCCAGGCACTACAGTCATGCTCAACTCCAACTCGGGGCCTTTCCATATACTGTTCCCTCTGCCTGGAATGCTCTTCCAGGGTCTTCACCTGGCTCACCCTCAGCATTCAGGTCTCAGCTGTCACTTTCCTCAGAGGCCTGACAGTTACCTACAGTATCACCTTACTTCATTTTCTTTACACATCCATTTTTATCTATTACTCACTCTCTTGTCTGACCAGCAACACCACCAGAACGTAAAAAGTCCCCTTGTATTGTGTAGTGTTTCTCCAGTAACTATGATAGATTCTAGCACATATTAAACAGTAAATATTTGCTACCATCATTATCTCTAAAAAGTTTTTCCCAGTGAGCCATGGTAATCTCTAAGTTCTCTTTCTCCCTGTGTTCTGTGATCCATTTAAACTTTTCCTTTAGATGACATCCCTGGCCGAGGATACAGCTCAGCAGCACAAGCACCTGCCAGGCAAGCGCAAGGTCCTGAATTCGATTCCCGGTACCAAAAAAGAAAATTCCCCTCTTGAGGGACAGAGACTATATTTCCTTTATTGTGTTCAACAAAACTAGGAGAAAAATTTATATTAGTTCTGCTTCCCCAAACTACTGAATTAGTTTACTTTTTAGGCATCAGCTGTCTTTAGAATAATTTGCAAGTTTGTGGTAAAAAGTATGCATGTATTTGTGAAAGAATAAATACACCTCCTTCCAGACCCCCGCGATCACGGGTCATATGCAAGTTTCCAGGAAAGGCCTGTCCCAGTTAGCTCTGTCTTACTGCCACAGTGTCCCCACCGGGCTGAAGCAGATGTTATGACAAGGACATTGTTGTGGTGTGTGTCTGGATGTCTGCCCCAAAGCCTCATGTAGTCATGGAGCAGGCTTCTACAGTTTAAGATTGACTCATGGTCCAATGCTGGGATTATGGGTGTGAATGCTACACCTCCCTTGGGCAGGGAACCTGCATACAATAGAGGGGAGGAAAAGAGGCTTGCTCTCTGCTGCTGCTTTCTTTTTGCTTTTACTGCTTTTGCTGTTTTCTGCTGCCATGAACTGTTGCCCTCTGCCATGTGCAACCCTGCCTTGGAGCCAGCCAGGTGTGGACTGAAACCGCCACAAACTGTGAGCTAAATAAACCTTTCCTTCCTTAATTCTAGGCATCAGGTATTTTGTCCCAGCAATGAGAGAAAAGTAACCGAGACAGACATGAAGCAGCAGATTTACAAACTGGCCAAGAAGGGCCTGACTCCTTCACAGTATAGTGTGATCCTGAGAGATCCTCGTGGCGTTGCACAAGTACATTTTGTGACGGGTAATAAAATCTTGAGGGTCCTTAAGTCTAAAGGACTTGCTCCTGATCTCCCTGAGGGTCTCTACCACTTAATTAAGAAAGCAAGCAGTTGATGTTCGAAGCTTCTTGAGAGGAACAGAAAGGATAAGGACGCTAAGTTCTGCCTGAGTCTCATCTAGAGCCAGACTCACCAGTCGGCTCGATACTGTAAGACCAAGCGGGTCGTCCCCCCGAACTGGACGTGTGTCATCCACAGCCTCTGTCCTGGTGGCATAAGTCTGTCTGTGTACTAAAGCAGTAACATCATGATCTAAATAAAAATAAATACATACACTCACAAATACATACGTATAATACAATATGAGGCAACATACTTACTTCTGGCATCTGTTTTATCCAACTCACTCAAACATAGGTCTTCCTTGGCATCAGTGCTCCCCTCAACGCCATGCCTCATAAAGAACTTCGTATCATTTTCATCAATTTCATCTTCATCATCGATATCATATTTCTGTACCCCTTCTAGTAGTTTTACTGCTGCCAAATGGGCAAATCTGTAGAAAAGAATCAAAACTTTATGATATCCACAATTTTCAAATTTAACCTGCAGAGTATTTCACTTCTGAATGCTCCCTGCTCGCCCAGAGTAGCAATCTAACATCTCTCTTCTCCCTTTTTCTCCTTTAAATAAACTGTCTTCTCTTTAATTAAAAAAAAAAAAATCTATCCTTGTACTTAGACAATTCCACTCTGTATGCTCTTCCACGAATCCATCTACCAAGCAAGAAGCAAATCTGTCCCTAAGGGTCAAGTGACAATTTAGCATACATTTGGCTATGTAGGAAACTGAAACCGTTACTGGACACAAAAGACCAATATCCATTTAAAAACCTGATTCTAGCCACACGTGGTGGCGCACACCAGTAATCCCAGCACTGGGGAGACTGAGGCAGAAGGATCGTTGTGAGTTTGACACCAGCCTGGGCTACAAAGTGAGCTCAAGGCCAGCCTGAACTACATAGCGAGCCCCTGTCTCAAAAAGATAAATAAATATTTTACATACATACATACATACCTGATTCCATTTTTACTGGCAAAAAAAAAAAACCAACCTGGAGAGGAGAGGAGATCCAATATCAAAAGAATATTTGGTAGCCCCAAACAGAGCTACTCAATGGAATACAGAGCCCAGGACCACCCTATTTGATTCTTTATATTTACTCTCCTTGTTAGTGCAATTTAAATGGTAGAATTAGTTCTGGTTCCATTTACCCATAGGGCTAACTACAGTACCAGTCCCTTTAACCTCCATCCTTTTTCAGCCCAAAGCATTTGTAAAAAAGATTCTCAAAGCCATTTTTCATTAGAAAAGTGCAGATTATGATGTGGTACCATGACATAACTCCTCGAATTATGAAATTCAAAAAAACCTGACAATACCAAGAGCTGGTGAGAATGACAACAGAAAGTCGTATCCATTGCTCTTGGGAATGCAAATTGGCATGGCCATGTTGGAAGACACTTCGCAGTTCTTTATAAAGTTAAAATATACACTGAGCGTGGGGGCCAGCAAGTTTACTCCTAAGTATTTACCCAAGGAATTGAAAACTTAGTTTTCATCCTATGGTCCAGTAAGCTTACAATACAGTAAACACACTGTACAAGTTTGTAATCTAGCAGCAATGTGGTGAGCTATGGTATGCTATGGTAAGCTGATTCATCTAAATTTGTATAAGTATGTTCTATCATATCTGCACTACACTGAAATCACCTATCAACATGTTTCAGAGCATACAGCCACATTAAACAACACTAGACTGTACATACTGTATGATTCTGGTTTTATAAAATTCTAGAGTCTGGGGATATAGCTTAGTGGCAGAGTGCCTGCCTGGCAAGCGCAAGGTCCTGAGTTTGAGTCCTGGTACAAAAAAAAATTTTTTTAAATTCTAGAAAATGCAAACTAACCTATGGAGACAAAAAGCAGATCAGCATTTGCTCAGGGAAAGGATACTAGAGAAGGAGAGAAATTATAAAGTGGCAGATAAAGACTTTCAGAGGTAATGAATATGTTTACTGTCTTTGATTATAGCAATGATTTCATGGGTTTCCACATTTAAACCTACTATTTTACATTGTACAAGTATGTGCATTTTATTATATGTCAATTATATCTTGATAAAGCTGGGTTTTTTTTAAATTAAAATAGATGAGTTGATGATGATTCCCAGCATGTGGTACAATACTGCCACACTTAAAGCATCAAAGAAATTCCACAGACAAATTCTAAGGAACAGGAGCTCACAAACACTATTTGCCTAGCAAGTCAGACAATGACCAGGCACAAGCATCAGAGCAAAGGTCAACAACCACTGCTACCCATACTTCTGCTTTACAGTCAAGTAGTTCTGAACCACAACCATCCAAAAGTTGTTTTGAATGATCAGCATAAATATTACTTCAAAAATAGTTTTCTGGGGATTTAGCTCAGCAGCACAGTGCCTGCCTGGCAAGCGTGAGGTTGTGAGTTCGATTCCTGGTACCAGAAAAAAAAAAAAAATAGTTTTCTTCCCCAAGTTCTTTCTAAATTCTGTTCTTCTGCAGCTTCCTTCATAGTTTTACCATCATCTGTGTTAATGTTACCCCACCTTTCCCCCTCTCCCTCCCCCCACAGTCTACAGATAGGAAGGCTCGCTTGTGTTTTTTATCTTCCATTCTTACTGTACCTTATACATGCTATGTAATAGGGTACAACGATTACAATGACTAAGAACTTTCGTTTGTGTTGTTGTCTCTCAACAAGATAATGAGCTCCCTGATAGTAGGAGCTAATCTGAAAGCTACTCATAGGACCAGGACCTGGGTAAGTAGATAGGAAGTTGAAGGAAAAGATAAACAAATAAGCAAATACAGGTGCATTAAATATCCCTTGAGGACCTGACCTGAATGTGTTGGTGGTGCTACATTTAATTCAAATGTAAATCCCAAAGTATGCATATGATTTATTTTTGTTATCAATATTGATAATTCCTTTTCATCACAGTGCTACAGGCATTTGAGAGGGACAATTCATTGTTTATCACTGTTCCCATCACTACAGAACATTCAGCACTCCCCAGCCCTGACTCGCTTAAATGTTCGATAGTCACTGTGACAACTTTCCCCTCATTTCTGGGTGGTCCTACCCCCAGGAAAGGGACAAATTCTACTTCCCAGTTGAGAACCACTCCTTTGAAGAGAAGAGCTGAGACAATGTCAAGTGTCAGTTCAGCTTGAAAATTATGATTGCATTAGCTTTCATTGGGTCCTCCAAAATTCCATTACATTCTTGGAAATTTCTGAGCACAGGACAGTATATGCAAAACTTTATAAATGAAAGGAGCAAAGCAGATAGGTGTCTCTACCTCTTAGCCACATCACTGGGTCTCTCCCCTGCTTTGTTGGTAATATTGTTGTCTGCTCCCATTTTAATTAGCCACTGCAAACACTCTATGTGGCCTTGTCCAGCAGCTGTTAAGAAAAGGGGGTAAGAAGATAGAAAACATACGCACAAAAGAAAGTTGCCATTAATGATTACTTTCTAAAATTTTGGACACTATAATTATAGAGTGCCTTAAGTATTGTTCCTTGCAGTAACAAAAGCAGGCTGAGCAAATGTTATTTCCTCATTTCATTTATTCACTCATGAGACGTTTACTGTAATACCTACTGGTTTTTTTTAATGAGTTTATTGGTACATTTCAGGTATACGTAATGATCACACTCATCACAGGGAGTTTGTATTAGTGCATGATATATTTGGATTCTTTTTTCCCCACGTCCCTCCCTTCAACCCCTCTTCTCCTTATTTACAAAAGCTTTATTTCCATTTTTCTCCTTCTTTTCTCATTTTTCCTTTCCCTTCCTTCCTTTCCCCCTCCCCCCTCCCTAGTTCCCCTTCTCATTTGAACATCTGCTTCCTATTTCACAATATCTATTATACATTTTGGTCCTTATTTACACTTTCATTTTCTCACAGCAGAGAAATAATGCGATATTTACACCTGTCTGTCCAATTTAGTATAGGACCCACATAGACATCAAAAATCTTGCTTCAGCATATGTTGTGTGTATATGTACATTATGTACATATGAATGTAATACACACACACATACTCTTACTATCTGACTCTTATGTAGTGACAGAGGGCCTGAATGCAGGGAAAACATAGAGCAAAGGGCTCACTGAGCTTTATGAAACATTAATAGGCAGCTTTGACCACTGCAGCCAGACTCTAAAGACAAAGGCAGCTAAGACAATACCCTGAACAGGAAATGAACAAAGGAAGGAAAAAAGGAAAGGAAGGAAGGAAGGAAGGAAGGAAGGAAGGAAGGAAGGCAGGCAGGCAGGCAGGCAGGAAAGAAGAAGAGGGAGGGGGAGAGCAGAAGAGGGAGGGAAGAAGGAAGGGAGGAAGGCATAGACACAGAGGGACAAAGGTGAAGAACTCAGGACCTGGAAACTCCCAGGTAGTGCGATTAACGTAAGTATTGCAAACCTTCCCTTTACTTAATCCTTAAATCAAAACCACCTTTCCTTAAGGCCCCTATCCATAATCTTACCCTTCACCAAAGGTCAAGAAAAGGTCCCAAGGCCAGAAAAAATCCAAAACTAGGGTGAAAGACAAGCAAGGGAGCCAGATTCCAGGACCCTACATGGGACAAGAATCTCAATAAAAAGGAGCTGCAGACAAGAATCTACAACCAGTTCACTTTCAAATTCTCCCTATTCATCCAGACTAACTGTCATCTTTCTCCTTCCCCACCTCCTAATAAATTGGTTTTTTGTTTTTTGGTTTTTTTTTTTTTTTTTTTTTTTTTTGGTCTTTTTTTGACAGGGTCTCTCTATGCAGTTCAGGCTGGCCTTGAGCTCACTTTGTAGCCCAAGCTGGTCTCGAACTCACAATGATCCTCCTGCCTCAGCTTCGCAAGTGCTGGGATCACAGGCATGCGCCACAATGCCCAGCTGATTTTTTTTTTAAAGAAAGACTGAAAAGCATGGTTCCTACTCTCAATATTGAGACAAAGTCTGATTAAAAAACAAGGAAAATCTGACAAATATTATAAAATTCTATATGGAAAGGAGGAAAAGAGACAGATCTAAAAACAGGTTCAAATTTAATAATGTTCCTTGATCATTTTTGTGGAATTAAAAACACTGTCTTAGCAGTCTAAAGAAAATTCTGCATAAATTTTTCAAGTCAACATGAATAGGTCATTTTTTAAGTGTTATTCTACAAAACTTCATAGCAGTGTATTTCACATCTTCACTAAAATGCTATTGTAAGACACTTCCTAGTAGTGTATTTCTCTTCTTCACTAACATAAACTGTTGGAATTACCCATAGATGCAACAATGTGTAAATGTCTGACATAATAAAAAGCATAGGGTACCAGAACTGAAAATGAGGCATCCATATACCATGTAAGAGAAACTGATATCCACTAGGGCATCAGAGAAAACACTTCATGTTCTCATGTGTTTGCACTTTTTAAGGTAAATAACTCAGCAGCAATTTTATCAGAACTGAAAATACATTTGGGTGAGGCAGGAGGACTGCTGCAAGTTTGAGGCCAGCCTGGGCTATACAGTGAGTTCAAGGCCAACCGGGACTACATAGTGAGACCCTGTCTCAAAAAAACATACATACATAACTACATACACACATTTAAAAACCTGAAAATGAAGCAGAAATATTATAGCTCACCTTTATGCATTGGAGTTGATCCATTATCATCACGCTCATTAAAATTGATTATGCCATCTTCTAATAACTTCTTAAGTGTTTCCAAATCACCCTTATAGGCAGCCACATGACCTGGAAATGCTAAAGCTATGAATAAGAAAATTCAGCATTCCAGTAAATATATGACTTTATTGTTTTCCTACCTTAAGCTGTCCATATTTTTCATTTTAATACATTATATTCTTATACAGTTACTCTTTTAAAGGATATGATTAACAAACTGAAGAGAAAATATCTGTATCAGATAAAAATAATTAAATTACTAAAATCAAGAATTTATAGAAATTCAAGTCAGGCATGATGGCACACGCCTGTAATCCAGCACTCAGGAGACTGAGGCAGGATTGCCACGAGTTCAAGGTCACCCTGTACTACATAGTAAATTCAAGGTCAGTCTTTTTATTTTTTTTTTTTTTGGTTTTTTCTCCGGTACCGGGAACCGAATTCACGACCTTGCACTTGCCAGGCAGGCGCTTTGCCGCTGAGCTAAATCCCCAGCCCTCAAGGTCAGTCTTAACTATATAACAAGACCATGCCTGGGAAAAAAAAAAAAAACACAACAAATTAATTAATTAATTAATTAAATATAGGTAATATATGGAGAGAAAGAGAAATTCAAATTATTTACAATGGAGTATTGCTACTCAGACATAACAAATGACAGACTTGAGACATTTCTAGGTAAATGGATAGACCTTGACACCATACTCTTAAGTAAAATAAATCGAACACACAGGTGAAAATACCACATTGGGGCTGGGGATTTAGCTCAGCGGCACAGCACCTGCCTGGCAAGCGTGAGATCATGAGTTCGATTCCCGGTACGGAAAAAAACAAAAACAAACAAAGCAAGCAGAAAATACCACATTGTTTCTCTGGTGTGAGAAACCGGAAGTATAAAATAAGGACCGAAATGTACAATAGGTATTAGGAAATAGGAAGAAAATGCTCAAATCGGATGGGGGGCTAGGGAAGGGGAAGAGGGAAAGGAAGGAAGGAGGGAGGGAGGGAGGAAAAAGAAAGAAAATGAGAAAAGAAGGAAAAATAGAAACAAAGCTTTGTAAATGAGAGGAAGAGGGATGAAGGGAGGGCACAAGAATGAGAAAAAAAAGAATCAAGTTATATGATGTACAGGTGCAAATCCCCTATGATGAATGTGATCATTATGTGTATCTGAAATGTACAATAAACCTAATTAATTAAAAAAGAAATTCAGATTATTTAGAAAAGTTACAGAATGCATTTTTCTTTCGTATCTTTTTGTGTTTTATTCTTATTTTTATCTTTTATTTTTTATCCCCCGAATTTTTTTTTTAGTACCAGGAATCAAACTCATGACCTTGCACTTGGCAGGCAGGCACTGTGCTGCTGAGCTAAATCCCCAGCTCTTTTATTTTTTAAAGAATGTAATTTTTAAAAGAGAAAAATACAGGTAGATGAGTAGACAACTTTAATACTATATATTCTTCTATATATAATGGAATGATAAATCCAAAATAATACCCTACTCATGAGAACAAAAATAAAAGTAATGGTATTACAGATAGAGATTCAGAAGACTTCCATTCTAGTAGTTTATTCTTAAGTTTGTAATTTTAACATTGCTGTATGCGTTAATATTTACACCCTATTGTCCAAAATGTTTCATAAAAGAAAAATTTAAAAAAAAATAAAATGTTTCATAAAGACTCTAGAAGAATATGTGGACGATGCTATATAACAAATTTTAATGGAACATTTGCTTTAAAAGTTTGTTTTCCTATCCCATTGATTCTACTTATATTATTATCATCATCATCACATTATATGCTAATCCATTTCAGCTTTGTAACTTACTTTCCTGATCTTGTGGGTTATTTCCTTCCCATGCAGCCCCTTCGATAAACTGTAAAATGTTTTGCTTGAAGAACCTCTGGGCCAGGTCCACTACATTTTCTCCATTGTCATTGAAGGCTTTTAAAGCTTGTATGCTATTGCTCATTCTACTGAGTAGGAATTTGAAACAGTGAAGGTGGCCTTCCATGGCTGCTAAGTGAACTATAGGTAAGAGAAAAAAAGAATTTAATGTTACAATTGAAAGTAAAATAAGGCCAGAGGTATAGCTCAGTGACACTGCTCCTGCCTAGCAAGCACAAGGTCCTGAGTTCAATTCTCCGTACTAAAAAAAAAAAAAAAAAAGTAAAATAACTTCAAAAAA